AAAATCGGGGAAATACAGATAGCGGATGCTTCATGGCAGAAGACAGATCGGTACAGTGAGTAACATTATAATACTGAAATCAAAGGCAGAAGTTAAAAATAGTGTGTTTGTGTGTGTGTCATTGTCTGCGTTTCAGCTAGGTCTATTTTCGTTTAGAGGATAAAGAAATGTGTCGCATTTTGAAATCGTTCATCTATCGTTTGCTAACACGGCTAAAACACGGCAAGGTTTACAGAAAACACAGGCATTACATTCCCCAACTTTACTGTGAATCAGCAGACCATTTAACGCTAGCTGTCTAATTTCACTCAAGTAAATAAAAAACATTTGATGCCACTGAAGGTCACGTGTTAATGCTAAAGATTAATATGCAGGTCACTCTGGTGGAAATGTTTCCTTTAATGAGTGATACCGAGTGTTTACGGTGCTTGAGGAAAGATCGTTATCAGGGTAATTGTTGCTACGAGTACGTCTCGGACGTTCTTTAAAAACAAAGGCTGCTTAATTCAAAGTAAATCTTCAACAAGCGTCCGTATGTAAATACACAACAGCAATAGTTTTGTAAATCCCACTCATCAGCGGGTTTATGAAAATGTCTTCCCGTCTCCTCGGCACTACCTGATGAGCGTAAGCCCCGAGTGAGAGCAGATAATAAGATTAAGATGAGCGTGCGCTCTTTCAGCATCTTTAATAAGTGCTCTATAAATACTTCCCGAGCGTATCCAGGGCTTTGTGTAAAACAGGTGGGCAGGAGTTTACCTCCTTAGCACAAAGCACTTAGCACGGCGCTCTGATAGGACAGGTGACTCATCAGTTTTATGATCACAGCACGGGCTGCAGATGAAGCGCTCTGGCTTTTATCTACTGTGTTACTGTGCGTGTTCTCACAGTGTGGAGCTGAGCCAGTACAAAGGGGCAATCCTGTGAGCGAAAAAAGAAAACACTACAGTATATGGGAGCTTGGCTAAAATAGGCTCACCTATAGCGGTTTCAATCACGGTTGCCAGATCTGTAGCTTTCCTGCAAGTCAAGCGGGTTTGAATTTTTTTTTTTTTTTTTATTTCCTCAGTATAACTCGTAGTCACTGGAATGAAATGTTTCTGGAGTGGCATGTAATACAGTAGCGCTACATAAAGTCGAAATATACGACTGTGTTAGGCAAGAGCAAAATACACAATAAATACACAGGACAAACTGGAAGCAGGGCTTTTCTTTAAAACACATTCAACTACTTATCTACATATATACATTAAAATATAACTGATTATTTATACCACGATCCTGTAGAAAGCGGCTCTATAACTAGGGATAGTAAATATTATGCTATAATAGCGATATTAAGATCAATTATGGGCAAGTGATATGAGAAAAATATCATGATATCTCAAGACATTTCTATGATATATAAGATACAGTATGCATCATGATATAGCCTATAGGTCTGGGAACAAACTGCCAGTAAAAGGAAAGTTTAAAAAAAAAAAAAAAAAAAAAAAAAAAAAAAAAAAAAAAAAAAAAAAAAAAAAAAAAAAAAAAAAAAAAAAAAAAAAAAAAAAAAAAAAAAAAAAAAAAAAAAAAAAAAAAAAAAAAAAAAAAAAAAAAAAAAAAAAAAAAA